AGAGAGAGAGAGAGAGAGAGAGAGAGAGAGAGAGAGAGAGAGAGAGAGAGAGTCTCACCCGCAAAAGTAGGTGGTGCGCCCATGCCATACTGCACATGCCAAGTTGTCTGACGGTTGACCCAACATATTTCATCTGGCCTCCAACGCCAGACTCTTGAGGAGGCTTACTTCATCGTTATCATAAACTGATGACTAGACCAACGTGCTTAGCCTAGACCTATAAGTATCTTAGCTCGAAGGTCCAAAACAGCCAGAGATCGAAGGTTATAAAATATCGGTCGCGACTTGTCAACTTCTAGACCAGACCCCACCGTAGGCCTTACCGGACCATAAGGCCCACTATTCCAAACAACTCGCACCAGACCCTTTCGGGACCTGAAAATGCAACCACCAAATCATTTGCCCCTAGCGTACTCGGAGCGTCACTCAATTGACATTGGAAACTTGTCCGAGCCCATCAGGCAGTGGACCCACTCCTGCGAAATACCCCCAAACTTACTCGATAAATTCTTCAACACACAATAAAAGAACACATCCTTGAACCCGTGCAACTTTAGCTCAACTCCTACTGCAAAACTCAACTCTGCCCCTTACATATCAGTAAATATTTTGGCCCTATGTAAGAAGGACCCCACTACAACCATTTTGTGTTGTTTGTCGGTATAAGAGCAGCAGTCCTGCAAATTCTGGAACCCAATCCCTTGAAGAATTCTCCTTTGGTTCTTATGTACTGTTGCGCATCTCACTCTCACAGGATATCCAAAATTTTTAACTACTACACCCCACTGACCCATATGGAGGTCTTTGTTTAAACGTCTACGATCACAGTCAATTGAAAAAAAGAGTTTTAGATAAAACGTTGGTCTTTGAAGCCTATACATAGTCATACCTCAACAGGGTTGCCGCCTAAGTAACCATAAATGTACCAACTTCGGCCTTTGAAACACATGCATATTAGTCATACCTGAACGAGGTTGCCGCCTAAGTAACCACAAACGTACCAACTTCGGTCTTTGAAACCCATGCATACTCATAGCTCAACAGGGTAACTGCCTAAGTGACCATGAGTGTGTGTGCAGGCTAATCAAACAAAATGGCCCTACCATACCCACAACAATGATGTGATGCAAAGTACACATGACAAAAGTGGGAGTTGGCTTGCGCTCCTAGTACTGAAATTATCAGGCAAACCCCCTTTCCGACCCTAGTAGCCACAAGTATAGATTTTTTTTCATCCCCCAAATTCCCTATTGTGACAAGCGAGCTTTCAACACTGCGCGAATTTATGTGCATCCCTGCGCTTATTTCTTTTTTTAAGATGAGACGACATGTTGCTTTTCGTTTTCCGATTCCGACAGGCTCTGCCGGCCTGATCTTTGGTGGGGTATTTGTGGACTTTCCTGCAGGTATGCTCTCGCATCTTGGTTTCGATTCAATTTCTAGATGTGCCATCGTAATTGGTTGGTATTTTCAATTTTGGACAAAAAGAAAATAAAGTTGATATAAGATTTTTGTGCGCCTCAGCGAGCGTGCCTGAATTCCTTCAGACTTTTCAGTATTGAAATTGTCGTAGAAATTAGACATTCCTTTCATTGGCATTTCACGTAATTGTTTCTCTTCTCGTGCATTCGCTTTCTCCGCAAACACATTTACATGCAATATTTTGAGTGCGCTTTGTCCTCCTTCTGCACATGTTTTTCAATGATCTTAACTTTTCTCTTCTCCTTTCCATATTTTTCCCTCGTTTCTCTTGATCTTGTTGAATCTTAATCCTTGCTCACGCCATATTTCATAACTTTTTTTATCATCAGTACACCAACCTCGAAACGATTTTGACAAGCCGACGTGGACGTCAAGATCGTATCGTTCAAGCTGCGTATAATTCGCTCATATTCATCACATCATGGTTCGACCCATTACGGACCCCCCCCTTTTTGTTGGAGACACCATGGATCCCCAACTCTAACTCCTTTACTCTCGTTCCCTCTGCATGCACCGTTTCCTTCCCACCTTCGCAACTATAAATCTCACAAGCATGTTTTCCCCCCCCGTCCTTTACGTTATTTGTTAGCTTAACTGAAATAATAGATAAACAAGTGGTAACTAGCGGATTGGAAAGTCTCGACGGGTAGACCACGACTTCGCATGATCGCATTGTTGAGTGCGTCGTCTCCCGTCATTTTGTTTTTTTACGAAAGGTGAGATTCCTCTCGTCCATGTCATGTAGGAGTAGAAGGAAAACTAAAAGACAACATGCAAGTAATCCCGCGAACCGCTGAGACAGACACGGTCGTGTTATCGCCTCTTCGCTCTAGCCGGGTGCACCAGTCGTACCTTTCTCAGTCCCCTATGACGGGATAGGTTCCCGTGAGACACAACTTGCCTTCCCTAAGGGGTTACCACCACCCTTAGGGGTGTATCCCTAACGAGCTACTGACCCATATACGCAAGTTTTTAGATGCAAAGGTAGGTCAGTTGAGGGTGTTTGCTCATTCGCTGCAATATACGAACACTTGGCTAAACGTTCTCTAGACTCGAACGTTGTTCGTTCCGTAGGGCGCTTATCTCCTAGGTACGAGCGGAAGTGGTCGACTAAAACAATCTCAAATTGAAACCCACAAATACTCCTAGTCTCTTTTACATATAACTTTGAGAGAGAATTATTGTCATACGTGAACCCAAGTCTACCAGATTGGATCGACTGTAGCCAATAGGAAACCATCCGTAGTAAAAGATAGCCTGTACGACAAACCACGTTAATGTGAACTTATTTCAACGTGAGATAAGTTTTCAAATAACAGAAGATCAAAATAACATCGGTCAAATTTCCATAGACTTGAATACGATAAATTGCGCTAACACGAGGTTAAA